ACAGGGCTGCCCAGCCCACTGTTATACAAAGAGCCCTGTCATCCTCAATGCCAGTAGCACCAAGACTGGCCTAGAGGAAGTTCTTTAGCTTTCTCCTATTCAAGTCCTTAGCCGCTGAAGCAGTGTTGTTGGATGAGCAGGAAAGCGGGCGTGAATAAAGAATCCATTTGACATCACCCAGGTCTCTGTCAAAGACTCACCATGTTGCAATTCTCGGTCCTTCCCCCTGACCTTATCTAGAAGAAAAGAGTGTGACAACGCGTTTCCAAAAATGAAAAGACAAACCAGAGTAGCAGACAAGGAAAGACGCTACGGCCAAAAATATTGAAGCTCGTGAAAGTAAATAAGTAAACAATAGCTTGACAGACATGGAGCCTGCGCATCTATGCCATGGCCTTTAGACACCTAGTGATGGGAAGCATGGAAGGGTGAAGTGGCTTATGTGTTTATCAGCAGCAGACCAGAGGAGAGATGTTGTCAGGGATATGCCTTCAAGCATGTGCTAGACCAGTGTGTTGACAGCATCATCTTTCGAAGAGATGAGCAAGTCCATTTAGTGGTTCCCAGGTTATCAGCATCTTGATTACTGAGGAGCAGAGGGATGCAGGATCTGTCCAGTGGAAACGAGTGATTGATAGCTTCCTGGTAACAGCCCTGCCTGCCTTTCCTCCTGCATGGCTCATTATTCCGCAGCATTAATTTAAGCTTTGCAATTGCACTGAATCAGGGGCCTCAATTCTCTTATCATCCCTGTGGGAAGCTTGATGGTTTATTTGTAGATGGTGATAATTGTTATTGATCCCCAACTATGGGAGTTGTATACACTGCTATGGCTGAAGGCCAGCTGGTCCATAGTGCTACCGTGCATGAGTGACAAGTCACAACAACATTTGTGTCCCAGAAGAGACTTAAGGATTTCTAAGGCAACTGATGCCTGTCCCAGATCTCTGCACATTGAGACGAATGAACCAGCCCACGTACACCAGTGCCGTCTTTTTTGTAGTTGTTATTGTTGACCCTGAAAACGTCTACATAGGTATTATTTACACTCGCTTCATACACAGCCTACAACACAGGAGCCTGCCCAGCCCAGCAAAGGCCAGTGAGTTCCTCCAAGGCAGTCATTCTCAACTTGTGGGTCACGACCCCCATAGCAGACTTCCTTTACATTATGATTTCTAACAGTAGCAAAATCACAGTTCTGATGGAGCAGTGGGACAATCTTATGCCTGGGGGTCACAACATGAGGATTGTATTAAAGGGTCACAGCGTTCAGAAGGTAGGGAGCCACTGCTCCAAGGCCTCAGGTCCTGTTGTTTTGGAAGTGTTCCTGGGTCAAGACAGCACCTGTATCTTTCCAGGCTGAACATCTTAGAGGTACATTAACTCAAGAGTTTTTAAGGAGAAGCCCTGCGAGAATTCTAGCATGCACTGTAGGTAGGAAACTTCATGGCCTTTCGAGCCTCAAAATGCCAGAGATGTTAAGGGAAAACAACATCACTATCTAATTAAGCACAGGTTTTTAGGACAGGGTACTAGGGCAGTGGGACTCTTCCCCTATGTAAACCAAACACAACACCTAATACTAGGGAAAGCTTTGGGGCTAATTAGTGTTGGCTGTCTACCAGGAAACAAATCGGGTCAGGCCTGAAAGGAACTGTCTATTATAAATGTGGTTGTTTAACACTCCTGCGCCCCTTTTCCTGGAGCACAGGTAATACACATACCATGATGGCTGTGTCCCGTGTCCCCTTAACAGCTCACCTTTGATCGCTCAATGTCAAAGTCTCAGAAATGGCAGGCTGGGCCAGAAGGCAGGACAACTTTCTCACATTGTCAAGTTGCAGATGTTGCACAAGGACTCCCCTTTATCTTGAGCTAGGGTATCACCTGGGTCTCCCATTTATCCTGAGATATAGAAGGAACTCATCAGAGAGAGAGAGAGAGAGAGAGAGAGAGAGAGAGAGAGAGAGAGAGAGAGAGAGAGAGAACAGTATGCTTCAATTTATATTTATTCTCATGGAATTGAAAGTTGGCTCTCAAGGCTCTGGTCCCGCGGTATTCCCTCTTGCATCTTCTGTGAGCAGTTTTTGTTAAAGTGAAGACAGACACAAAGCATTGCTTCTGAAAGTCATGGTATCTAGTCCCACCACAAAGTAAAACTTTTTTGTTTACTGCCATCTTTACACACACATACACACACACAGCCCAGACATTGATATCATGCCCATTGTGGCAGTAAGCCTAACTGATCATGTATGTGATCCATGTACTTTCTACCTACATCGTCAACACACATGCAACATGGTACAGAGCTCAACGGTTAAGGTTTGCAAATGGAAAGTCACTTGATTTCAAAATTGGAGGTGACTTCAGATGTGACTGAGTCCAGGCATCTCACTCAGAAACAAGGACACTGACTTAGAGAGGCTGTGTGAACTGCAGCATTCCGTTTCAGTCGGTGATCAAGTTGGAGAGTAAGACCAGGCATTTTTATGTCAACCTGCACTCCACCATCCTCTGACTGTAACACACGGGTTTGGTGTGTTGCATTGCACAATGACTAATCGTGGTCATATAAGTGCCTCCCCCTGTCAGATCATACCAGTGTCTAGCACAGACAGTGAGCTATTTCCCCCCAAATGTAAACATTCAAACAAGTACTGTGATTTTAGTCATCTCTACCTGTGTCTGGATGAGCTACTAATGAAAAATGGAAAGCACATAAAATGGGTTTAAAAAAAAAAAAAAGAAGAAGAGGAAGAAAATCAAGAGCAGAAGCATGGATATAATCCACTAAGAACAATGGCTATGCAAATTCAGTATTCCACCAGAATGACCACATAAAATGTTTTGGAAACATTAGGTTATAACACTCACAGCTTCTGATTCTACTTTCACATAAATGGATTGCTTCCTTGATGGCCCTGAGACCCTAGGATACAGAGCGCCTTCTGACTAAGCCATGCATTAAGAATGCTGCTCTGTCTGTCCTCTGAGCAACGCCTTCCCTCTCCTGAAGCACCTGTCTCTCGCTTCTCCACCCCGGCTAGTTCTATCCCACGGGAAAGTGCGTGACTCCACCCCGGCTAGTTCTATCCCACGGGAAAGTACACGACTCATGGTCCAGTTTCTGAAATCTGTGGCCCTCGGTGTTCACAGATCCTGGGTCTCTGGGCACTGTCATCTGGAGATCCAAATACTGTTTCCTGCTGTGTGGAGGGAGTTACATGAGTGTAAGCCATTAACAACCTGATTTTTTTCACTGTTCCCAAATAAAACAGTATTCTAACTCGCATTAGAGTGACTATGTTAGTTAGAACTAACCCAGAGAGGACCTGAAGCATTTGGGAGAGTGTGTAAGTATTATTCAAATGCTCCTCCATTATAGCAGAGGTTGGTTAAGCACCTGAAGATGTGGATAGGTGTGGGGATCCTGTTTCTGGTCTCCCACAGACACAGAGGGTCAATTGTATTCTCCACATGGAAAACAAGCACCAGGAGATGTGGACACACAGATCCTCAGGTAGAGGAGTTCTGACTCAGAGACGGGATAGTTGAAAGGGTATGGATGGGTTTTATTGGCTCTCCTTGGGAATCACTCACATTTTAAAAATAGCTTAGGAAATGAGACATCACCTCCTGCTGTGAATTCATGCACTTCCTGAGATATTCACATGATCGAGGTTGACACTATTTGGGAAGGAAGGTTGGGTTCTGTTTAAGACCAGTGGATGGCATCGTGTTAAGGACTAAAATCCACAGTACTGGTCTGGACATCGACAGGCACTGACCTCCGGCTGAAGGTTGCACCTAGAGCGGTGATGGATATGTGAACGTTAATAGGTGAACTAGCTGAAGCCCCACCAGTCTTGAGTCCAGAGGGGAGGGCTGCTGCACAGTTGCCAGATAACTTGGGGCAAGGCACTTGCCTCTGCAGGAAGAGATGTCGGGAGGTAGACAACTGAGCCTTTGAATGAATTAGCTCAGCTTGGCTGAGGACAGATGCAGAGATCCATCTTCAACCATTTGCCTTTGGCAGACCCCTACAGTCAGCACTGCCTCTGATTAAATCATCCCCAGACTCTAGCTGTACTCCACAATCCATCTCTTCTCCCTCAAACAAACCAAGCTTTGGCTCACCTCCATGTTTGGGATGTATCTGTGCATTTGCTCTTCCCAAAGTATTTCCTCTGCCATGGTCCACATGGCTTGTCTTCGCCACAACCCCTGGCCCATGTTACCATCATCACAGAGGCAATCCCGAGGAACTTTATACAGCAACTGCATGTAAATCTAATTTTCCAGTTAGTGTAAAGATGGAAACACCAGTCATAACTTCTGTATTTACAGCACCTGTAAGAGTTATTGGCACATTATAGGTGTCCAATAAGCTGTGTCCAAGAGTCTGGAGCCAGGTCTTAAGGTTGTCTCCTGATGCCTGCAAGTCTGTTTAGAAAAGCATTTGGATGCTTTCTTGGCCTAGGTTCACCTGCGCTGTATCTACGTTACATGTAGAGGCCAAGGTTGGGCCGGAGATCAGTACAAATCCACAACCACATTTTTAAAACATGCCATGGAAGCTGAGGAGATTCTAAGAAAGTGCTGTGTCGAGATAAGCAAGACACTATTATCATTCAGTGCTCATCAGAGCTTTAAGCAACTTTCAGAAAACCTGTCTTCTGATATACACCTCTAATTTGTGTCTTATGGAAAGGCAAATAAATTATTCTTCACCTGCAGGGAGCAGGATCATTTGACATAGGATGTGTGTCTTCCCCTCCACCCAGCGTAGCTTTGAGGCTTAAGGTAGGAAGAGGAAGAATATGTCCATAAATTATTCAGAGAGGATTCATATACGTGTGTATCCTTGACAGATTGTCAAGCTCCTCGGTGCTCCCCCTGATAACGGGTGCTGTGTTCTTGATAAAGTACGGCTTGCTTCTAAATGCACTTCCTTGTCATTGTGCATTTTATTCTACGTGTTTCTTTCCCTCCAGAGTCCAGTCTGGCTCCTATCTCAGCACCGGGTGGTTTACCTTCATCCTGGCCATGGATGCCTGTTACAGTATCCACGTCTACGGGATGATAAATGACACCTACTGCAAGTAAGAGCACAGGAAATTATTTTTATGCAGCTGCAATTCTGATATCTTGTCAAAATATCACAATTCATTTTAATGCCATAAATCTGAGAAATAGATCAGATGACAATTACTTCCGGGTGTTGTTTGCCAACATGGCATGTTCTTGTCAGTGTTGTCGTGGTCTGACTTTTAAGAGTGATAGAAAGAAAACAATGTCTACTGCAGTCTAATGTCACATGTCAGAAGAACACTTTTCCCCTTAATCAATTGTAGACCCAGGACTCGGGGATCTAGAGCAAGTTTAGTGGTGATTTAATTTACAAAATCAACGTCTGTTCCCTCTGAGAGCTTGACGGACAGCTAGGTGTCAGCCAGTGTTCTATTTGCTCACAGAGAAAACACTTATTCGACTCAGTAAGAGTTCCCGAGAATTTTATTTCACTAATGTGTGACTAATCTGCCAGACTCTTATTTTAAATGAGTGTGTGTGGTTTGCTGGCAGGATTGCTTCTAATCAAACATGGGCATCATCATGGTGCAATACAGTTCCTCTACCAACGAGCCCCACAATATGAGTCAGAGAGCATTTAATCTCGCTGCTAAAATGCAACCGCTAAGTCGAAAGAACACGGACGAACCCCAACTTTACTGTGAACATTCAGTTTCCTTACCTCTTCAGGAGCATTGGGCACTTCAGGGTCTCCTCTGAAAGCGGGCCATGTGTTTGAATGTAATTAGTATGATATGTAAATTTTATTTGATCTATTAGGGCACTAAGAACTGGTCCTTCTTCCTAAAAGCTTTCATCTGTAATAGCTTTTAAGCGAGTCCATTGATGAGGGTTTGTAAGTAAATGCATTTACTGGGCACATAATGGATTCTTGTAAATGCCTGTCTCATCCTTGGCTCAGCCTTGCCTTTCCTGACTTGTTTCTCTTCCAGGACAGAAGGGTATAGAAAAGTCCCCTATCATTATTATGAACAAGGAAATGATGAGTGCAACGAGTATCTTGTCCACGAACACGCCCCTCATGGAGGACACAGGTTCATCACCGAGAAGAAGGTGTTTGCCAAGTGGGCTGAGAAGCACAGGATAATATTTACACACCCAAACTGGACAGTGTCCTGATGTTGTGTTTCCTGATTGTGACATTGCAGCTGTGAAGATGATGATGGTGTGGGCAAGGATGATCACAGCCATCATGGTCCTGGACATTTTCTGATGTGGATGGTGACCCTGATAGCAATCTGAACTTGGCGTTCCATGGGAGGGGGTCCTTCTCGTTCTGTCCTTTGTGGTGATTCAGACCTACATATCACACTTTATAACTTACCTACAATTGAAAGCCAGTGACATGACAGCTGTGACTAAAGAAATCAGGAAGATCGTCTTTCCAGATAGCTGCTCAGAATAACTTAACAGGCTCCCACAAGAGATGCTTTTGGCCTCATCAGGCAAGGTCACTGAGTGTGTGGGCAACTCCACCATCTTGGAAAATGGCTGACTACCAAATACTGTCCCAAGTAATTCTATCAGGGTACCTGGCCACAGTTACTAGTTAGCCCGAGAGAGGTACAGATACCTGGCCACAGTTACGTTAGCCCTAGAGAACAAGAGCATAGGCATCTCTTTCTGATGCGCCATCTTCCTTCCACATATCTTGCCTTAGGCCACCTACCTAAATGTAGCAATGAAGGCATCATTGTAATTCCTGCATCTCAGGATTACTGGACTATCTCAGACTCTTGATTCAAAATGTATCAAGGAGCAAATACTGACAAATTTCCTCGCTGACAGCTGTACTCTCTCTCTACTCAGAACAATGTAACTAAACATATCAGTACAACTGTCTACATTAATGTTTAGTTATTTTTGGCTGAGTACTAAATACTAATGTGTTAAACATGCAACTTCAACACTGTAATAACACATACTGTGAAAGCATTTCTGAAACATAACCAAAGGGTTTCCTCACTCTGCTTCAACAACCAATTCCACAAAAATGTTATGCTTTATAAAAGATCATGAAACAGGGGAAGCAAAACATATTTTTGCATTAATTTGTATCCTATCATATTCATAATATATATTTTTAAATTCAAATTTCTATTTTATAAGCCCAAGGCGTGTCTCTCCATAAACATTATCAGTGTCAAGTGCCAAATGTTAGACGTGAAAGATTCTTTGTATCACTAAATCCAACCTGAGCTTTTGCCTTCATGAGGCTGATTGTCCCTTAGTGTAACAGTAAAATTGTGATGAGCTTAATTCCCAAAGTGCTTTGTCATTTGGAGTCTCTTCACACCTGATATGCCATGTGACACCCAAGGTCACCTCACTGGACTACTGCCCGCACGTCCTGCCATCTCCCACAGTTGTTCTGTGCTAAGATAGCTGTGTCCGTGTGTCCCAGGTTGCTCTACTTTAGAATAGCTGTATAGAATAGCATTTATGTAAGTGATTGAGCTCTGTGCCAAATATAGCATAGCATACCAAGATTGAGAAAAACGACCACAAGGATGGTTGGGACACAGATGAGTAGCCCTATAAGCTTAGATAGTTTTGATTTTTTTTTTTTTTTTTTTTTTTTTTTTTTTGTCAGTGGCTTTGTTCGGGTGGGGTAAGAGGGGCGATGGAAGCGGAGAAATAGTTTCCCACCCCAGGCCTGAGGCCGCTTCATTCTCTGTGGACTTCGTGATCCTTAAATATTTTAGTTTGGTATTCTGAGACATTGCAAAGCATCCATAAAATACCTTGGCACAGTGATAAGCCAAAGCCAGGCTGAACTTAATGTTTTAGAAGCTGGAAATAACAGTGCACCTCACCTGCAGAGCTGTGGCAGGCCTTTCCTAGCACCAAGGATCACATTGTGCGATTAAGACCCTGCCATCCTGATACCCCACACCCACATCCATGAGGGCCCCCACCCTCGCAGCTAGAGAGAGACTGGTTAGGTTTTTATTGTTTGCTGATGTGGTTTTCAGCTCTGTGAATGTTAGGTTTTTTGGCTTTTTTTGGTTCTTTTTGTTGTTTGTTGTTGTTTTTTAGAGTGCATAGTGGATTGAAATGCCCACTTAAAGAAAAATAAACAATACCCATGTTACCAGTCTATGTGAAATGTTGTTTTTCTCTCTGTTGTGCTACAGAAGTTCTGCTTTTACATACAACAAACCCTCGGTGAATCAGAACGCTTCCGGGAATGGCATAACTGGCTTACGTCATTGTCTAGTTAGTGGAGGGCCAACTCTATTTTTGGTGCTTACTGATGAGAAACTCAGGCTTACCCCTTCCTACAGATTTTTCTTCCCTTACAGTGTGTGTGGGAGAGGCAGGCTCTATTTAAGTGGGCAGTCACCTGTAGAATGCTGAGTGAGAAATGGCCCCTTGGCCTCCTTCCCCCCCCCCCCCCCCGTCTCTCCTCCTGCTTTGTCTGTTTTTATGGAGACCCAGTTAAATTCCCTTGCAGTCAGGGCTGTGACAGACTCCAGATTGCCTTTGCTCTGTAGTCACCATTTTCTCTGCTTCCATTTCCCATTCCTTTCTTCCTTCCTTAGTTCTGGTAGAAACGTAAAGTCCAATTTCTCCCCTGTGAAGGAGGCTTCCATCTTGGACTTCCTGAGAGAGGCAAAGGGTTGATTGAAGGAGAGCACTTGCCATGTGCAGTTCCACAGGTTCTGGTCAGCTGAAAGATTATCCAAACACCAGGAAAGCTAAATGACCTCACTGGTGCACACCACCCTATGCACTAATTAACATTTGTGAAAGACCCATGAGAAACGACCATAGGCGTCTGCAATCCGCGTACATGGCTGCGATGCAAAGTCATAGAAGGGGTCTGGAGAGATGGGGAGATGAGGAGGCATGTCAGAGCAGTTCCGATTTTGGCTCCCCAGAATTCCCAGAGCCACAAGAGCCTCTAACTCCAGTTTCAAGTGATCCGGTGACCTGTTCTGTCCTCTGTGGGCACCCACATGCATGAGACACACACACACACACACACATGCATACACATAAACAAAAATAATAAAACAAATCTTTAAAAGCATATAATGAAATGACTCCTAATAACATATTTTTATATCCATACATCATTACCCCACTCTCCTTCACAGAGACTCTGCTTCTTGCCGTCCATGGTAATTAACACCGAGATCCACAACGGGACACTGTGCGAAGTCAGATTTTGGAGTACTCAGTCCAAAGACATAGTTTTAAATAAAGTCAAAGAACATTATTTCTAATTCTTTGGGAATCTTGAAAAACCAAGGGAAAAGTTAAAGGATTTATAACCCTTTTGAAGTTAGCCTACTTATATGTCACATTGATGTGCATTTTTATGATGAAAAATGTTTTTGTATTCATTACAAAACAGAGAAAACAATGAGTAATTTGAGGGGATGTTTGTATGTATGAACAGGTATATGCATAGATAGATACTTACAACTGTGTGTCTTGGCCTATGTGTGAATCCTGATAGGAAAAAACAAAAAAACAAAAAAACAAAAAACCCTGACATCCTAAGTAAATGTGCTGATTGCTGAGCGTACATAAAGCCATTCTCCATGGCTAGCCAGAGGAACAAACCCGGAGAAGATGCTAAATCTAGAACCCAGGGCACATTAGGGTGCACAGTTGTCACCGTGTAGACAGGTAAGTACAGCCATCTGTAAGGGCAGACTCTGCCACCGGAAGCTCAGCCAGAGTCCCAGAAACCCTGCAGCTATGTTCAAGCTAACATGCACAGACACTGGTCCTCCTGTTCAAATAAGGCAGGAGGCAGCGCTGGAGTTTGCATGACTTCTGACACACAGCTATAGTGCTGTGACTGTTGTGGGGAATGCGTCATTGTGCAAGGAGGCTGTTCTCTGAGGATTGAGGATTGGGGACCAGCGGATTGGGGATGGCCTCCAGGGGATGACATGGCTCTTAGAAAGTTTCACTCATGGCCGCCTTGTTAAAAAAAGACAACATTTTTACTTCACCTGGTAGGGTTAATTGGATGTTAACTGTGAGATCAGTTTAATTTTGAGAAGCAAATGGATGGTTTGCATTTTTTTTTCCCCTCACACAAGCACCACATATGCCATGTTAAATGAAAGACTCAGCCCCATTGCCCAGGGGCAGTTGGCACGCCTTAGGATGTGTGAATTGCAATCCCAAAACAAGGAAGGGGACTAGTCCTTAGCGCATATCTAAGTGGCGAGAGTTCATCATCTGATCCCTCTTGTGAAGAGATGCCATGACTACGGGAGCCAGTGATCAGCTTTATAAGCAGACTGGGGTACAGACATGAAAGCGTCTGAAAGAGCAGCCTCTGTGGCCTGCAGTCAAGGAGCAATATTGTTGGGAGTGGGCGCAGCTCAACCTTGACTGCAAAAGCCTGATGACAGTCCTGACACCCAGAGTCTTGTCTTCCGCTAACACGCTCTCCATTGTGTTCCTCAAGACACTGAGTAATACCTGGGGGGGGGGTGCATGAGAGATTTACTAAGAGTCTACCCAAGGCTCCACTGGAGTGGATTCTACCAGGGGTCAGAAGTACCCTGCCCTGAACCGTATGGGGGCAGACCCTCAGCACTGGACCATAGTCCCCCCCCCCACGTGGTGTTGCTAAGACCCACAGTGCTCCATTGTTATGCGATGTCAAGACTTGCAGAGAACACAAAGGTGCACTTCTGTTTGTCACTGAGGATGATCAAGCCTTGGTGTCTGAGGAGACTGCTTGCTAACCTGGAAGGCCTTGCTCTTGCTTAGACTCAGAGCGGTATAGTCCTCATCCTCAGTGTGGGCCAGTACGTGTTTGAGGCCACACAGACCCCGCAATATATGTAAGCACTCACCCTGTGTGCCACAAGATCCGATCAATATGCTGCAATGTGAGAGTCCTCTTCTATGATACTGTTGCAAGTGAAGAATGTTCAAGCTGTATACATCAGGCTCTATTCAAATGGTTCCTGTGGCTCAGAAGTAGTTCTGTTTTGTTGTTGCTTTTGCTGACCAGAGAGACACTACTAGAATAAAATTGCATGTAAATTGCAAAGGCATTGAAACGGAGCTGTCCTTGGGCATTGTAACAGCACAGAAAAACCTCATTCCGTTGTTTTTAAGTCCTTTACTTTTTTTCTTTTCTTTTCAGAATCGTTTCTGAGGTAAGAAGGAAAGTGCCTCTTTCTCTACAAATAGGTCTCTTGTTATTCGTGCTTTAGAGACTTCAGAAGAAAAAAAAAAAACCATGAGCTCATCTCCATGAAGGTGAAGAGTGTTAGATGAATAAATAGCCAAGTGCCACAAGCTTGTATTTGCTGACATATTGAGCGGTTTCTTCTAAGAAACTTCAAAGCTGGGCATTGATAGACCGATATTACCCAGCCTGCTGCAATGTGCTCATATCCTTCTGTTTAGCATCACTGGCACTGAATAAATACCAATTCTATTACACGTGGCATATTTATGCTCCACTCACGTGCCTATGAGGGTCACATGATCTTTGCTGTAGCCGCGTATTCACTTTTGAGACCAGTAGTCTCCATTTATCTGTAGAGGAGACAGAGATGCACAGTGGTGTCCTGGTAAGACACTTAGTTGTCCGGGGTCATATGCTTTTTTTGCAGACATCTTAGTTTGAAGCCTACAGCTGGCCAAAGGATAATTAACAGGGTTTAGTTCGTTTTTACAACAGGAAAGTTGGGGATGGGTTAATAAATACACTATAATTAAGGCAGAAAGATGTCCAGAGCATGATGGCCCACGTAACAAGAGAAGGCTTTACCAGCCTGTGGGATTTTTGGAGTTCACTTGAACTACGTTTGTTAGATTTCCTACTGCTCTGTTTAAATATACGATGGAATTCAGCCTTAAGAAGAAGGGTTTGCAGGCTCACAGAGGCATGCAGACTATCCTGGCAGCCAGATATCACACAAAGGGCAACTTGGTCCGTGGTGGTGAGTGCAAAGCAGACAAGAGGAATCCGGGTACAGCTGGCTTTTCTTCTCCTCAGCCCATGCAATGGCGCCTCCATGTCCAGGTTGGGTCGTTCCTCCTAAGGACAGCTCTCGGGAAACACGCTTGCCATCATGCAGAGGTGTGACTCATTAGTGCCTTTGGTGCGTTTTAAGTCAGTGCAGCTGGCAGTGGGAATTTGTGATCACACTGTGATATGCTAAGCAACAGTCGCTTTCTTACTCTGCCAGGCTTGCTGTCAGCTTAGAGTACACACCGCTTACGATGCAGTCTCCTTCTGCCCCTCACTCCTGCCTCTCATCCCTCCCATCTCTCTTGTTGCCCCTCGTTTTCACTTTTCAGACTCTACATATGTGCCGCTGAGTATCATGTTTTGATAGTTTCTCAAGCCAGCTTACTGTACTTGATCAACTCCGTGAGAGTCCACGTGTGAATGATATCTCACAGTAAGAGTCCACTTTGGGAATCAATAATGATACCTTATGCACACTAGCTGTATTAAAGGGATGAGTATTTGAGCCCACCCCCTACCGTTCTGTGAGGTGTACAATGTCATCATTTCATGTGAAAGGTCGAAGCACAGAGATACACAGTAGTCTGCCCA